TTCCTTTATAACCGCTATCTAAAATGTCTTTCGCTGAGCGACGCTCTTCTCGCTCGAGCGAAACGCCCCTGCACAAAATTGGCATTCTCGGGTTGTATTTCGCTTGAGCGACTAAGATCTCGCTCGAGCGATGGTGCTCTTTAAGAGCGGTTCTGTGTAACCGCTATCATATACAATCAGATTTTTTGATTCTGATCGATTAGATTATTGAAATGATCGATCATATTTGATAATTTTTTCAAATAATGAATTATAATCGATTAGTTTTCTAAATTATTGATTAGAATTGATTAGTCTTTCAAATAATAGATTAGAATTGATTAATTTCGAAATATATACTAGAAAATTATAATTAAAACTATAAATTAGTTAAGAATATTGACTATTGTAAAGATAAAGTAGAACATGGGAGGAGATGAGGATGATAATATAATCATAGAACTTACAAAAATGTAGAATTGAGAAGTTTGAAACAAATAAAATTAAGAAAATAGAGATTTAATTACACTTTTAATAAATTTAAGATAATACTAGTTTTGAGTTTTATATTTAAATATTTATTTTAATTATTTCAAACAGAGAAACTATAATTTTAGTTTCTAGCTATTGAATTTAAAGAATTAAATTTATTATTATTTAATCTTTTAATTTTAGTATTAAAATTTTAAATTATATTTTTCTACTTTGAGAATGAACCATATAATTAAACTCAAAATTGACAATATTATAATACATTTTTGAACTCTTTTGGATTAATTTTTTTTCCTAATTTTTTATAAAGTTAATTTTAATATTTAAAAGTATTTAACATTTTGATATAATGAGCATGATAATATAATGATAGAATTTACAAAAATGTAGAATTGAGAATTTTTAAATCTTTTTCTAATATTTATTTTTAAAAATATAATATAATTTTTAAAATTTAATATTTTTTTTTCAAATATATTAATATATAAAGATATAGATGTATAAGGATATATATAAATAAATATATAAATATAAGTTTCTTGTAAAACTTTTCAATTTATTTTAACTGATAAAAATAGGTTTTAATCGATTGAAACAAGATTTAATCGATTAAAAGAGTTTTGATCGGTCATAATTTCATTCTGATCGGTCATAATTGGAACGATAACATAGCGGTTCAAGGTTAACCGCTATCTAAGTGAGCTTTTAAAAGCGGTTCCTTTGTAACCGCTATCTAAAATGTGTTTCGCTTGAGCGACGCTCTTCTCGCTCGAGCGAAACGCCCTGCACAAAATTGGCATTCTCGGGTTGTATTTCGCTTGAGCGACTAATATCTCGCTCGAGCGATGGTGCTCTTTTAAGAGCGGTTCTGTGTAACCGCTATTATATACAATGAGATTTTTTTATTCTGATCGATTAGATTATTGAAATGATCGATCATATTTGATAATTTTTTTCAAATAATGAATTATAATCGATTAGTTTTCTAAATTATTGATTAGAATTGATTAGTCTTTCAAATAATAGATTAGAATTGATTAATTTCTGAAATATATACTAGAAAATTATAATTAAAACTATAAATTAGTTAAGAATATTGACTATTGTAAAGATAAAGTAGAACATGGGAGGAGATGAGGATGATAATATAATCATAGAACTTACAAAAATGTAGAATTGAGAAGTTTGAAACAAATAAAATTAAGAAAATAGATATTTAATTACACTTTTAATAAATTTAAGATAATACTAGTTTTTATTTTTATTTTTATTTTTAAATATTTATTTTAATTATTTCAAACAGAGAAACTATAATTTTAGTTTCTAGCTACTGAATTTAAAGAATTAAATTTATTATTATTTAATCTTTTAATTTTAGTATTAAAATTTTAAATTATATTTTTCTACTTTGAGAATGAACCATATAATTAAACTCAAAATTGACAATATTATAATACATTTTTGAACTCTTTTGGATTAATTTTGTTTTCCTAATTTTTTATAAAGTTAATTTTAATATTTAAAAGTATTTAACATTTTGATATAATGAGCATGATAATATAATGATAGAATTTACAAAAATGTAGAATTGAGAATTTTTAAATCTTTTTCTAATATTTATTTTTAAAAATATAATATAATTTTTAAAATTTAATATTTTTTTTTCAAATATATTAATATATAAAGATATAGATGTATAAGGATATATATAAATAAATATATAAATATAAGTTTCTTGTAAAACTTTTCAATTTATTTTAACTGATAAAAATAGGTTTTAATCGATTGAAACAAGATTTAATCGATTAAAGAGTTCTGATCGGTCATAATTTCATTCCGATCGGTCATAATTGGAACGATAACATAGCGGTTCAAGGTTAACCGCTATCTAAGTGAGCTTTTAAAGCGGTTCCTTTGTAACCGCTATCTAAAATGTGTTTCGCTTGAGCGACGCTCTTCTCGCTCGAGCGAAACGCCCCCTGCACAACATTGGCAATCTCGGGTTGTATTTCGCTTGAGCGACTATGATCTCGCTCGAGCGATGGTGCAACAGCTATTAGAAGTAAATATAAACATATAAATATATATAAACATATAAATATATATAAAAATATGTAAAGATATAAACATATATCTTTAATATTTTGTAAATGTAAATATAATTTATATATATTTTTAAATCTTTTTCTAATATTTATTTTTAAAAATATAATATTATTTTTAAAATTTAATATTTTTTTTTTCAAATATATAAATATATAAAGATATAAATGTATAAGGATATAAATAAATATATAAATATATCAATATATAAATATATAAATATATCAAAATATAAATATATAAAAATATAAAAATATAAAAATATTAATATATTAATATATAAATATATCAATATATAAATATAAATATATATATATATATATATATATATATATATATACAAATATATCAATATTATCCCCTCATATATTAATATACATTATTAGCATAATTTTAATTTAATTAAAAATTAGAATACAAATATACTATACTATACTAATATACCATTATATTATTTTCATTGTATATAAATTACAAAATTAATAATTTGTATACTATACTATACTAATATATTATTTGTATACTATACTAATAGTATAATATACTATATTATAATATTATTTGTATAGAAAACTAATATATTTATATATAAATATGAAGATATAAATATATAAAAATATAAATATATGTAAAAATATATAAAGATATAAATATATCAATATATAAATATATCAATATTTAAATATATCAATATTTAAATATATAAATATTTAAATATATAAATATTTAAATATATATTAAAATATATAACTATATTTTTATTTATAGCTTTTATATTTATATATTTGTACGGATATACATTTATTTGTATATAAATATAATTTATTTGTAAGTTATTATCAAAAGATCCTAGTAGCTCAGTGGTTGGAGTTTCAACCTCCAACTCTAAGGTACTGGGTTCGAATCCTGACAATGACAATAAACCACCTAATAATAAGTTAAACTTTTAAAAAATATAATATAATTAAGAGATAGGGAAAATAAATAATAGATATAATAAAAATGTAAATAATTAAATTTGTTATTGATTAACTTTTTCATTGATTCAGTGACCAAGGTTATCAAACACTAAATCGGTCACTGAATCGGTCACTAAAATCAGTGACCAAGGAAATAGTGACCGATTCCAGTTGGTCACTATTTCGGTTACTATTTTAATTAGTAACCGATTTTGCAGATTTAGTGACCAAATTTTCGGTCACTATTTGATGTTTTTCTTGTAGTGACACATAATTGAGTATCAATGGTGTCCCAACGGTCTTCCTCACCAGGAGTGAGAGTAGGTGCTTTTGGGGCAAGATTATCAAGATACTTCTGACTCTTAAGTCATAATCTGACGTCTGATGACCATGTGGCATAATTAGGGCCAGTTAACTTGTCAATGGATAAGTGCACATTAACATAGTTAGTGTAGATGGAAGGATCAGACGCAGTATTGACAGAATTGGAAGTACTAAAAGGAGCGGAAGAAGTCATAAAGGGCGAAGGCGATAGTGATAGTGGCGTGAACCAGTACACCAGGTAAGTTCTCAGGAAAGAGAGGTGGGTCACTAATGGACACGCTTAAATACCAAGTATTTCCTTGTCAGAACTTTCCTAGACATGCACTTTCATACTACCAAATAACCGACAGCGATAACGGCGGTGGTAGTGGCTTCAATAGTGGTCAAAGGCGAAAAAAAATTTTCAAAATAACCTTAAGTTCTAGATACCATGTTTAATATAGAAGAAATAGAGTTTGATTAATCTCCCTTGTGTATAAATCACACATAGGGTAGTCTATTTATAGTAGAGAGATACAACTAAAAGAGTAACTGAAAATAACATAATAAACAGAAGATATTATTTGATATTGTGGTTAACAATATCTAACAATATCAAATAATATCTAAACAAGTTCTGACGAGTATAAACATTGTTCACATAAATAAATAAATTGAGTCACCACCTTTTATACTAATGGTGGGCAGCATTGTAATTAATGTGGTGATAGACTTAAACCTTATTTTGGATAGTTAGTGTATACAGTGCTGCAAATTTTGAAAGATTCTAATCATACATGTTAGTGATTATTTTCATCATTTTCATTGGCACGTTGATGGTGAAAAGTGCACATAATACTTTAATTAAAATGCATGTTACGGACATCATGTGTAAATGTCTCTATTTGTCCTTATTTGGTTAATTCTTTTTCATTCGGGTTTTGAAACTCCCACATTGCCGTCAAATTTCTATTCCATTGACATTTGAGTTTGCATATATAGTCGCAACTTACAAAAAGTTTCAAAATATAATACTAATAAAAAAAATCCTGCTTGCTAATGTAAATTGAACAGAAATCTAAGCTATAAAGTCAGACTCAGTAGTTACTACCGACTAGAAGAGAAAAAAAAAGGCTTGTAATTTGTCTAAAATAAAATAATGCACTAAGTATAGCACTTAGTTGTGGAATAACTAGATGGCACATCACAAGGAAAAGTGGAAGTATCCCAAAGCATATTTGACTTCCATGCATCGCCAATATTGAATGGCATGCCACTGAATGGAAGTCCAATGGATCGTACTGTTTCCAACTCCAACTCTAGCTCTTGGTCATCAACACGAGGCACATTGACATTTGGAGGCTTTACCAATGCATTAATATTATCATATTGTTGGTCACAAAACGTGGTTTGCATCTCACGTAGAAATGGCATTGGGTAGCCACTACAGTGCTCTTGCACCCCACCAAAGCTTGTACTGGTATTTGTATTGTCCTCTGAAGTTTTATTGAAATCTCCAAGCACGGAGGATGACATGTTCAATAACATGGAAGAAACGTCCGTTATAGATTTGGCGTTAGTATTACTATCTGATGTTTCAAAAGGAGATGAGAATAGCAAGCTCGTGCTAAGGTCTCCATTTGAAATGGGAAAATGATCAAAGGCTTTGTAAAGCAATGGGTTAATGATGGATTTGTATGAGGCAACACCTAAGGGACAAAGTGTACTACTACTATAAGGGGTTAAAGGTTGTGCATCATTGTAATTGTTAGTACAGTACTGGCTAGCTAAGGTGGTTTTCTTTGACAATGACATGTTGTCTGAACAAAACTGGGTGCTGTCTTGAACTTTGGTAAGGATATGATCAGAGGTTCTTCTTTCAGGGAGGGAAGAGACCCAAGAGTGAGATAAAGCTCTTTGAGCTGTAGAATTGGTTTTCTTGAAAATCCTGCAGATAGCCCATGATTCCTGCTTGTTCAGGAACAAGTTACATCAATCAATAATGATGGTATTCCCAAACACTTGAAAGTTGAAACTCCAAACAAACAGACTAAGAAAACATATTTAGTTACTTACGTTAGCAGGAATGGTCTTGTCTATGTACTTTGAGGATAGTGAGTCGGTGAGAGAAGGGAGCCTGAACTCATGCATCATCCAATCAGTTTTAACTCCTTTGGCAGCTCTACCCTTGTAAAACACTAGAGATTTCTTCAGGCCAATGCACTTGGAACCTTCTGAGGAGTAGATCGGCCTATCAGTCCCTGTAGCTTTCCAGAACCCAGCTCCAGTTACCCTATTAGGCCTTGCACTGTTTCTGTATTTTCTGTCCCTGGGACAATAGAAATACCACTCTTTCTCTCCTGTGGTAGCCAACTCTGCACACATTAGAATAAAAATAAACTTTTAGATAAATATATATATACACATATACATAACAAGAGAAATAAGTGTTTAAATGTATACAATATTGAGCCAAGCTAAGTTTAATGTAGGATGTTATATATATATATATATATATATATATATATATATAACAAAGAGAGATAGATATCTATCATACTTGGAAGATCCCAAGGGTCATATTTATAAATATCAAGCTGCTTGATGAGCTCAATAGTCAAAGGGCGTTGCTGGATCTTCCTCTTGAGGTAAAACCCTACAAGCTCCTCATCAGTTGGATGAAACCTGAACCCAGGTAGCATAACTTCATCAAGTTTTTCAGCATCATTATTTCTCTCTTCCATCGTATCTCAGCCTATTTTCTTCTAACCCTCTTAATATGGAAAAAAAAAGTGAGAGATCCTTTGTTGTCTCCTCAAGATTATCAACCAACAACACAAAACTAAAAAAGTAGAAACTGTTTTCAAAGAGGTGGGCTGAAAAGTTTTGAAGAACAAGAATAACCCTAGCTAGAAAGAGCGGGTGATGATGAGAAGTATATATTGAAGGTTGAAAGACAAAGAAGAAGAAGAAGCTAAAGAGTGATAGTGAGAGTGAAGCGTAGTTAATTTGAAGTGATTATATGCTTCCTGAGAAGGGATCTACCTCCGAAGGATCAGCCGTTTTTTCTGGTGACTTTCAAAGCAGTGTGTGTTTTGCGAGGATCACTTAGGTTTGGTTCATGAAAACAAACAAGCAAAAGGCAAAGCTCTTAATTCGAAACGACTACCGAGAAAGAAATTAAAGCCATTAAACATATAAGTCAATAATATACTTTTTCTACCATATGTCCATGGTGCCCTCATATTCAATAGAAAATAACCAGAAACAAAAATAAGCAAGCTTGTTCTACATGATAATGTAGAATCATAGAACAGATTCATACTATATAACATTATTTGCCTGTATCGTACCTGAAGAAAATTTTTCTTTCATTCATTCGTTTATCATCTAATTACTTCCTTTTTAGTCATCAAATTTGTTAAAAAAACTATAACTCTCTTTTTTGCATATATATGTACGAATTTTGTCTGAGACTCAAGACCTTAACTATGGCAGAATCTCAATAAACAGCCTAATTTGCAGCTTGCGGGGGGGTTGCAATCTTAAAGCATATTTAATTACCCTTTAAGCACATTAATGTCATGAAAGTTTTGATCCATCGACAAGCAAGACACGGGGTCAAAGTTCCAAGTAATCAAATGATATTTATTTAATACAGTGTTTGAAACTTTGAAATATCATTTGGAAACATGGACCTGAGCCAGATTCCGAAACCGAGCTCAAATTTATAATTCAACAGCAAATTCCAGTCAGACCCACTAAGGATTTTATAATTTAAGGTTTCTCGTAATCCGAAAATCCCGTTTCTATTCCATTCCCAGAGTTTCTATTCCACTGATTTTGCCAGGGTTGAATCAGTTTTAATAATAATAAAAACAATTTAAGGCTAATGTGGAATTTGTAATAAGAGCAAGAGGGCCTGTGATCAAAGTCTAATGTTGTTGAGGGGACCGCTTTGCCCTTATGGAAACCTTATATTCAATTATTAATCTTAAATAAACTCATTTGTTTGCTACTACCAATGTATCTAACAGCAGAGTTAGCTAAATTTCTCTGCAACACGTGCTCCATGGATATTAATTTGACCTTCTTCTCTTAACCTTTCTTCACAAAATTTAAATTATTTTATTTTACGGACAAAACAATTAATTTGTAATTGTTTCTTAAGGAAAAATTTACATTGGAATAGTTTATTTAAACTTAAAATAAGTGTTTTTTTAAATAAATGTTTTGTAAAGATAACTATTTATTTAAGCATTTAATGATATATTTCCCAATTTTTTTGTTTAGTACCTTATAAATTTTTCAGTTGTTTTCGGTGTGTGAAAAAAAATAAATTTGGTCTCTATCATTTCCTTCGGCTACATGAATCATGATGTGATGGTTGAAGTTTATGGCTAGCTAGGGTCACTTGGTGCGTGAGTATGTTGTGTTGTTTGGCGAAAGTTATGGTGTGGAGTATGTGAGTCTGGGTGCTCTTCTTTGGAACTGAAAATGTGGTGGTATTTCCTATCATTTTGCAACATGATAACATTGCAACTTAGTGGTCACTTCTACATTCATGTAAAAATAAATAAACAATTAAATAAGTAGGGACTAAAAACTTTTTTTTTTAATCAGGACCAAATATATATATATATATATATATATATATATATATCAGAAATCTGAAAGATATTTAAACATTAAAAATAAAGCATAAAATATATTAATAACGTGATTTGAAACTTTAAGAAATCAGGTCAACATTCATGCACATATATAATGTAGGGACTACAAAAGTTTTTACTATAAATAAAAACAACAACAAAAAAATTATGAGAGAAAAAGAATGTATCTACGGATATCATATACAAGAATCTACGTTGTTGAACAAAATTCTATAATGTCAAACCTCGTTTTAATCATTAATGGCAAATGTTGAATATGGATCTTCTCCAATATTTGAATTTCAATTTAAAAAATTTTGTTATTTGTTGAGGGTCCAAAGACTTTCAACAATTTATGCTCCATTTTATGAAATAATATTTCTCTAATAACATTTGCGAAGAATCAATATATAATTAATTGCTCTTCATATTTGAAAAAAAGAAATCTATAATAAAAGGTTTCTTGTCATCCTTTTGGAGTTGAATTAAATTCTCCCAATCCATTCAAATAAGGATAGTATTATAGTTAAAAAAATACATATTTCACTCTCGATCTTCTCATAAAAATCTTCAAACCTCATTTTGCATATTTATGTTTTAAAATCCATCAGTAAAATGTCCTCATTTTCTTATAATATAACATTTTATTTATCAAATCTTCTTAATTTCCTTTGCTTCGAGGACCACATATACTTTCATCTCTTTTGTTTATAATCAACTTCGTTTTTTCTCACCAAAACGCGACCATCATTATATATAAAACGCCTAAAAACGAAGATTAGCTCAAGGAATTTACCCAAATAATGAAACATGTAAGTCATTGTTGAAAATATTTGCAGCTCTTATTGTATCGATGAGAATGCACTTGAGTGGTGAAAAAGTTCTAAAAAACTATGAAAGGAAAACTAATCCTCTATTTTATTTTACTTTTGTAGATTTTGGGAATATGAAGTATGGGCTTTCTCAATTTCTTGCTTGTGGTGAAACCAAATGCTATAGGTTTTAGCAATGGAACACAAAAGGGTCTTAAATCTTGTTTAAAACCCCACACGTGCATTTGGCTTTGCCAAACATGTCCTTGTGGTGGAGGGCAAGTACCGTACCACTAATTAATGAAAAATTTACTTAGTCAAATACCAAACTTGGGACTCCAAATTCAGTGAAGGTCCCCAAAGTCTAGCCCTCGGTTGGAACCATTTTTGTCTGTTCCTTGACCTAGGGTTTGCTACCCAAACGTGTAACCAAAGTTTAAAACTGAGTCAAACTCTCAAAACCCTAACATCTATGCCTCTTTCTACGTGTGGTGCACCGCCAACACTCTCTATGAGGGCCAAACTCCAATTTGTAATGTCAAAAACAACACCAAATTAATGCTGAGTTGCCTCACTTTAAAAAGTTGTACAAAAATATATGCACCTTAGAGTGAGTAATAAATTAAAGTTTGCTTTGTGTTTCATCACTTTCTCGAGAAAACTTCACTTTTTTATCAGTGGAGGAAAAAAGGAATACAGTAAGTCGTCAACAGGGTGTAGACATTTAATTGTGTTCAGTTTGACAAAAAAAGAAAAAAGACTTTGCATTTTTTTCCTACATTCAATAAATTAACTCTTGAAAAGAAATGTTATCAATGTTTCTATTTTCTAACACTTGTTTATTTTGTAATCTCTTTTGGGGTTAAATTCTATGTAAGTCTCATTAATTAAATACGTGAGTTTCTCCATAAGGGTCTCATTCAAACTAGTATGTAGTATTTTCGTGTATAAAAATATGCAAAACTTGTTTCTGAAGGAATTCCAACTAAAATCACAGACGACGTAGATTTAGTGGCAAAATTATGGTATGGTTGTAATAGATGACGAAGGAAGATACCAATAAATTTGATAAGGAAAACACTACAAAGTCAATCTCAAACAATGAAAAGGTTGTGTGATGTCTGCACTCTATTCTATGAAGTTAACAAGGCACAAGACACGAATCCAATTTGAAAATGCTAGGTTTTTTTTCACCACTTGCAAAACAACCTTTTCATCATCCAATTATTTGCGAACTTGGATTGAAAACATAACCAAACCACCACTCTGCAGATAAGAAAACCAGTCAGCAGTTACAATTTGCATTAGATAATAGTGAGAGGTTGAAAATTATTTAACAAAAAATAAAATCTCAAACGTGAAAAAAGAAAAGATTAATCTCTACATAAAATTACAACAAGTGAGATAATTATAGATGTTTTTTCAAGAACCAACATTTTCAGGTTTATTTTTTAGATCAAAGAACAAACATGAAGCAACTAGCTTTAAGAACAAACTGTGTGGTACAATCATGAGATTTTTATTTTTTTTCTTTTAATGGCGCACATGGAAGTAAAGTGTCACAGTGCCACTTTCCACCCAAGTTACTACTCTTGTGATGAGTGTGCCAAACTCAATTTCAAAAAAAAATAAAAATAAAAATATTCACAATGTATGTGTGAAGCAATATAGTGTTGATTTCGAAAAATCAAATTTTTAACGTGATTTTGAGGAGTGTTGAGTATTGGACTTTAATCTCACGTAAAGAAAGGCCCAAAATTTGATGGGGTGAAAAGGTTGCAAGTTTGGATATGAGCTTTAGTTTGAGCTTCGGTTAGGACCGTAAGACTACGAAGTTAGATCTTACAGAACCTATAAAGAATATTCTATGGCCATGTTTGAATATGAATAAGTTTCTTCATACGGAATTATAGAAGTGAAAAATGGTAAGAAAAAATAAAATTATATTTTTTTACAAATTAAAGTTAGTTTAGATATAAGCTAAAATTAAAAAAAAAATTACACGACAAATCTTACAAAAATTAGTCTGGTGCATAAGATCAAAAGTTAAATTTTAGCAGTTATTTTGTGTTATGGTATTTCGTGCTCTAAAATGTCCAAATTTAGTAATTATTTGTATCTTTTAATATATAAAAATTATTATCAATCAATAAAATTTAACAACTTCCAAACTAATATTAGAATAAACAGCAAAGTCGCTATATATAAAAATTATAATAAACCTATTTATAAAAACTTTAATACTATTGATGCTAATTAAATTTTAACTATTGTATAGGATCATGAATAATAAAAAACACTTAAAATCGTAACTTTTCCTTACTTACAACAAAAGTTAAAAAAAAAAAAAGTGTTTTCTGCTTATTAGCTCCCAGAAAAATGGGTATAAGGGATTCTAATACATTTTAAAAGTTAAAATCACATGCTCAAAGAGGATTGGTTTATGGTATCAAATCATATAATTTATTTTTTTATTAAAATAACAAACTGTTGGATAATCTACATTAACTCTTATATAAAATAAAATAAAATAAAAAGTTGAGTAATATAAATCATAACATAACCTAATATTTTAAGGTGTTAGATTAAACTAAAAGTGATGTAGTTTATATTTATTTATGTTATTTCTCTTTTTAAATCCAGCAGAAATAGCCAACCCAAATTATATAAACCAATTTGCATTGCCACTATTTGTTCCCTGGATTTTGCTTTGTTTCAACTTTTTGGTCTCATACATGATATATTATCCCATTGACTAAGTAGACACGGTTCCATTTGCATCACTGTGGTTTAATTCACTTTCCACTTGCTCTAATTTAGGTTAGCCTGCAATTTCATCTTACGAAGTTAGTTAAAGTTCTATTTTACTACTAATTTAGATAATCAAACACTTATTCTAGACCTTTTCCACTTGTTTCAAAATTTTCTTGGTAAAGATTTTGAAAAATAAAATAAAATTATTGGATTGGTCAATTTATTTATCTTATTCAAGATATGTGACATTGGATCTAAATCTTCAAATTTAATATCATCAAACCATGAAAATCCCAAGTATTGAATACACTTTATCCATTGCCACATCCAAAACAACACAAAAATCTTACTTTTATACTAAGCAAAGTTGTGAGAAACATCTTATTAAAGAAAAATGAAAGATGACATTGTCAATATTAGGTACCTACATATACCTAATTGAATTAATATTTAATTATATAAATAATATATTATGTTTTAGTATTTTAAAAGAGAAAAAAATTTAAGAATAGATCGAGGCCCACTGAAAATAATTATTTAAGTTTTTTTATCAGAAGTTATAGATTGAATGGGTTAATATTTTATATTAATAACGTGATTTTAAAAAGGTTAGATATGTTTTTAATTTCTTAGATTTAGGATATGTTTATCTTTTACCCTTCTACTTTCAATTAAGTTTTTAATCCTGTAATTGGAGAAGAGTAGTTTAATAATTTTGTTTATCAAACGTTTTCCACTTAAACAATAAAAATCAAATTTTTAAAGAAAAGTAATCATGTGATAAAATATTTAATTATAAATACACAAAATTAAAGTAAATTTTCTTATAAATAACTAGTAATTAATTACAAATGTGAGTGAATTTTTTAAAAATATACAAAATAAAAAAGAGACTAAAACAAACTTTCTTAAAAAAATTGTCTCATATATATATATCAATGATTAAAATTGCTCGATTATAATATCCAAAAGATTCAATTGATACATTAAAATCGTATAAGTATAATAATTACAAGACTCAATTAGTATAACTAGAACCTAAATATGGGCACCACAAAAAATCTGTGTTCTTAAATTTTTTAATGGTCTCTGTGATGATATGTGCCATGCCATGTGAGCTTGAAGCAAAAGCTTCATCTAACTTTCAACCTTCTTAAATATTATTATTTATTACACTATATTTGTTCCATCCTTTATTTGATGTATCAACCAAACATTGAACACAACGCATTTTAATTAAAAACATTTAAAGATTAATAGATTTTGTCTTGTCGGTGGCCCCGCTATTGAAGATATTTTGAAATACCACACAATTTAAAAGAGAAAATAATTGAAACATATTCCTCCATGATCTATGAATTAATCACCATAAAATAAACATCACATTAATTTTAATTAAAAATATTAAAATAACAAATTTCTGAGTTTTCTATTGTTATTTAATATTTTCTATTTTTATATGGTTAAAATTATGCAGGTGAAGGACTTGTTGTTTTAGTTAAAATATATATGATGTTTACTAAAATTAGAATTGATGATTGGAAAATAGTTATTAATTTGTGCGAAATTATAATTTTAAATCTATGGAATCCCGGTGTATTGGTAAGGGCACACCGACAAGATAGTATTCTCAATAATTTTCTTATATAATTATTGTGTACTTGTTTTAAGGATATTATTTTAAAAATATTTTGTTTTTCAAAATGATAAAATAATAATTTTTGAATTCATGCATCTATAATTTGTGGCTTTGAGTTCCAATGGTTTTAATACCTACCTTTACTTTTATTTTCTGAACTTGTTAGTAGGACAAATGTTTTTATTAGAGCGTTCAACGACACCGTTTTCTTAGTTTAAATTGGTTTAGGATTTAGATTTAGAATTTAAAAGATAATAAAAAATGAAAACAGTAATTAACGAATAATTTGATATAAGTTTATTTAATTTATACAAATAGAAGTAGACAAAAAATCTATGTGAAGGAATTGATGATGTTCCTTTTATCAAACAAAATGTTATATGAAGTTAAGAAGAAAAAAATGGTACTACAATAGAAAAGGTATGTGTTTAAATTTTATTATAAAAATTGTATAAATATGTATAATATTTTTAAAAATAGCATAATTATGTTAATATTGAATGATATTATTCTTTACTTGAATGAAAGGCAGTGTGGTGAGAAAGTGGAAGCATGATTGATTCATGGCTATGATAGGTGTGGACATGTAGGTGAGATGCACGCGCCATGATGAAGAATACATTGGTTTAGTACGGGTTGGTCACATTTGGATGAATGGACGGTGATGATGAGATGTATGTAATCAAACGCCTTTTGCAGGCGCGTGGGACCCTTCTCTTCACCGCCAATCGTGCCTCCAACCCACCGTTTTCGTCCAACGCGAACGCGGAGTTCAATTTTTTTTTAAATTTAAAAAATTTCTCTTCAACCTTTGTAATTATAATCCAACTAAATATTATATTAACAATTTCAATATATAATTAGATATTTCTTTATAAAATTTAGATTAAATTAATTATTTTATCATTTTAAACTTTTATCACCTATTTTTTTTATTCACATTTATCATTGTATTTTTAATTTTCACTTTTTTTTGGATGTGTTAAGTGTATAACAAAATCTTGATCTTGTTGATTACCGATTTTTAACGTGTAGCTCCCACCAACAGTAGCAAAGTCTAAACTTTATTAAAATTATATACTTAAAAGAAACCTAATTGTATAGTGATAAAAAAATCATTAAATTTAGTATAGATAATTAACATTGAAGAATTGAAGTTCTTTATTCTAAAAATAAATAAATAAATAAATAAATAGCGAAAGAGGGAGGAGAGACGTGTTTGGAGGAAATGAAGAATCGATTTCAAATTAATAAACGAGTCACATCAAATTTACTTTCCTTTTACAACGGAAAAGAAATTAAAAAACAACTTAACACACGCACATTTATTGAGCCATTTATCTGCGAGACTAGATATAATTGGTATGTTTGCCAGTACACTACTGCGTTTTACCATTTCTCTTTTTTTTTTCTTTTTTTTTTCTTTCCGCTTTTCCTTTTCTCTTCTTTTCCGTTGCTGTTCGTTCATGTGAACATGATTGATGCTGATATTTTAGGCTTGGAATTAGAATAGTTTTTTTTTTTATTGGCATGTCTCAGTGCCCATGCAGCAAGGAAAATCATCATTTGTTTCTCCAGAAAATTTATAAAATCCTCTCTATTCTCTCTCTCAACTAATTCCTCTTTAGAAAACTCCAGATCTTCATAGCCATTGCTCCCCCAGCTTCTTATGATTAGTAAGATATTTTCCTCGTTTTAATTTTCTTTTCCTTTTATCCCGTTTTCCTATATTTTTGGCCATTCTATCTTCTGGGAGTTTTCAAACTTTGGTCTTTTAATATCCATATTGTGCCTCCATAATATATATATTTATGTGTGTGTGTATTGTTGTGCTCCAAGTAAATTATATTTACTTCGGTTTCAAGGGTGGTCTTCGTTCGTGACTCAAACTCGGAATTTTTTGTGGGTGCATCTTGCATCGCATTTACCTAAAGCTAGATCGCATATGATTCACCTGATATAAATGTGATTTTAGTTCAGAAGTATGATTCATGCTTGGTTTTGTATTGTTTTGTCTTTTAATGTTGTCGGTAGTACTCAAATGCATAATCTCTCCTTAACCTTGTTGGTTGGCAGGAGAAACGTGCTACCAATCGAACATAAATTCCATGCTGTTGATACGATCTGAAGTTCCCTTTGCATCCCTCATTATTTACAATATAATAATTGCTTCATGATGTTGATTGAAATTAAATTGAATAATTTCGTCATTGGAGCTTAATTTAGTCAGTTGGAATTTGCTAATTGTAGTCAGTTATTCATTGAAAGCAATTATCTTGCTTTGATTTAAGATTTTTGTCCTGGATCTTGCCTTGTTAATCGTATGAATTATTATTTATGTAGTACTGAATAAGGGCTGGTGTTTCTTAGATTCTAGATGGCAAAACCAAGTTCAGCTGATGGGAGGACTAGAAGCTCTGTGCAGATCTTTATAGTAGTTGGTCTGTGCTGTTTCTTCTATATATTGGGTTCATGGCAGAGAAGTGGTTTCGGAAAGGGAGATAGCATAGCATTGGAGATTACTAAGAAAGGCTCAGACTGTAATATAGTCCCTAATTTGAGTTTTGATACTCACCATGGTGGAGAAATCAGCAAAATTGAAGAATCTGAGTCAAAACCAAAGGTGTTTGAACCTTGCAATGCCAATTTCATTGATTACACCCCTTGCCAAGATCAACGGCGAGCAATGACTTTTCCAAGAGACAATATGAATTATCGTGAGAGGCACTGCCCCCCTGAGGAAGAAAAGTTGCACTGTTTGATCCCAGCACCTAAGGGATATGTGACACCCTTTCCATGGCCGAAAAGCCGTGATTATGTTCCATATGCAAATGCACCATACAAGAGTCTTACAGTTGAGAAGGCTATTCAGAACTGGATCCAGTATGAGGGAAATGTGTTTAGATTCCCAGGTGGTGGAACTCAATTTCCGCAAGGTGCAGACAAATATATTGATCAACTTGCTTCTGTGATACCTATAAAGGATGGAACAGTTAGGACAGCACTGGACACTGGTTGTGGGGTATGTTTGTTATTGCGATTTCCTCATGGCTATATCAATTTCTTATTTTCGTTCTTGTAAATTTTACTTCGATTAAAATATTAGTACTTTGTTTTTGGTTTGTGTGCTTAATGAAAGGTTTTTTGCTCAGGTTGCCAGTTGGGGTGCATATCTTTGGAGCAGAAATGTTATTGCTATGTCATTTGCGCCAAGGGACTCTCACGAAGCACAAGTACAGTTTGCACTTGAAAGAGGTGTGCCCGCAGTCATCGGTGTTCTTGGAACCATAAAATTGCCTTATCCATCTGCAGCTTTTGACATGGCACATTGTTCTCGCTGCTTGATTCCTTGGGGAGCAAATGGTGAGATATTTAAATTTTTAAGTATAATCTTCTCTATGAAGTACATGCTGTAAATAAGAGAGCACAATGATTATTTGCACATTCTTTCTTAGATTTGGCACCTCATGTAAGTTATAACAGCTATTTACTAATGATTTTGGGTCGTTTATTTGCAGATGGAATGTATATGATGGAAGTTGACCGAGTTCTAAGACCTGGTGGTTATTGGGTGCTTTCGGGTCCTCCAATCAATTGGAAGGTCAACTACAAAGCCTGGCAGAGAACTAAGGAGGATCTTGAAGAAGAACAAAGAAAGATTGAAGAGGTTGCTAAGCTGCTTTGCTGGGAGAAGAAGTCTGAAAAATCTGAAATTGCCATTTGGCAAAAAACTGTAGACTCTGAATCATGTCGCAGCAGACAAGAAGATTCTAGTGTAAAATTCTGTGAATCAACAGATGCTAATGATGTCTGGTATGACCCTTCATTAATTGTTTAACAATTTGAATCTTTTGGCATCCTGTTATTAGTATTCCTTATATGTCTTTCTACTAACCATAACACAAGCATACATGAGTGCATAAAGCTGGGAGAAAAGTTGTGGAGAAAAATTAAAACAATTTTTTCAAAATAATTGTTTAATCTATTTTAACAAATCAGTAACCAAGTGCCACATCCCATATGGTTGTGGAGGAGCCAATGGAAACAAAAATATGTAATTACTGTTGCTATATGTCTTTGATGTTTGCACTTGTTGTTATGATAAAAGCTTGATGATTCCAGTTTATCATTATTTTATATATCATGCAATATCAACATAACAATCCGTTTTTTTTTTTTTTTTTCAATTTCTCACAAGGGTATATCTGGATATTATATACCCAACAAATTTGACAAACGCGTATGCTCAGAAGCAAGTGGTATACTTACTTGGAATGGCTTGTTTTGTGGTACAGGTATAAGAAAATGGAGGTCTGCATTACTCCAACTCCTACAGTTTCTGGTGATCTTAAGCCATTTCCAGATAGGCTCTATGCCATTCCTCCTAGAATTGTTGGTGGCTCTGTTCCTGGAGTTTCGGTTGAGGCATACCAAGATGATAATGAAAAGTGGAAAAAGCATGTAAATGCTTATAAGAAAATTAACCGACTCCTGGATACTGGAAGGTATCGCAATATTTTGGATATGAATGCTGGATTGGGTAGTTTTGCTGCAGCTATTCAATCAACCAAGTTATGGGTCATGAATGTTGTGCCTACCATAGCCGAGAAAAGTACACTGGGTGTCATATATGAGCGAGGACTTATTGGCATCTATCATGATTGGTATGGTTTTCTAACTTCCTCCTAATTTATTTGTTCATGCATGTTTAGATCTTATGATTTGAAGACTTGTAGTAACTATCCTAATGTTGTACCGTTATTCAAATAAAATTTATAATTTTCAAAATATAAGTTGACATAGACATGTCTTTTGCCAATTATTATGATATCTTGCTTAGAATTGTAATGTGACTAGCTATACAATTTTTTGGAATCAGCTTCTTCCTCACATGTTTTTCCTTATTTATGATCCAGGTGTGAAGCCTTTTCCACATACCCAAGGACATACGACCTCATTCATAGTCATGGTCTCTTCAATCTGTATAAGGATAAGTAAGTATTCCTTTGGTTGAATGGCCATTCTATTTCTCTTCCTGTTAACTTTATTCATTACCAAATCGTAATATTTTTTTTGGGCTTGCTTAGCATGCAATCATAGCTTAGCTGCTATAAAAATGATTTCTAGGCAATGAGCTTGGGAGTTACAATGCAATCTGCAGTGGCATGTTTTGTTAATCTAATGTAGGGTTGTGCATCCTGTATACTGTATGGTTGAAAATATTATCACCTGTCATTTAATGTATATTTTTGGCTTTGATAGTTGTATGAAAAACTGCAAGTGTTCATGTTGAATTAGCTTCATTCTCCCCTGACTAGTTGGTCTTTTTATGATTCTCCATTGGGAATCTGATAGTGGTTATACGGTGCCAGTCAGATTGCTGTAACATCTTTTTCAGTTGCTATGTTTCTCTTGAGTCTTATTCGGCAGACAAGTTTTATATATGTGGATCTTTAAAGAATCCTTGTGAATACCTTTTGGAGCATGTAACACTTATATGTGGATTTAACTATCACTATTGAATCACCCAAGTCCTTATGTTTTTCCATTTATCAAATTGTGTTCAATAATGTTCTTCTAATCATGTCTGATAACTTAATACAGGTGCAATGAAGAAGACATTCTTCTTGAGATGGACCGTATTTTACGCCCAGAAGGCGCCGTGATATTCCGTGATGAAGTTGATGTCTTAATTAAGGTAAAGAAATTAGTTGAAGGAATGAGATGGGATACTAAAATGGTGGACCATGAGGATGGTCCCCTTGTTCCTGAGAAGATACTAATTGCCGTCAAGCAGTATTGGGTTGCAAATGCCACATCTACACAATAATCAGAAAGTTGAAAGGCTTCGCCTTGTACTACCACTACTACTTTTCAATATACCATTCTTGCAGAGTTAGTGTGGCTTTGCCTGCATTTTGGCTTTAACTAAATCATCTTAAATGTAGCACAGGGAAGGTGGATTGGCTTAACAAACCTCACAACCGTGTCACTTAGCTCAAGTTTTATGGCTATAGGCATTTTTTTTTCTCATAATTTAATTTTTTTGTTAGACCATGTTACATTCAAAAGTCAAGTGAAGACCGACTTTTCTCAATAGTTGTCTTATTTAATCTGAATTTGTAGTTGCAGGCTCTACGTTTTGTAACCAGCTATTGTATTGCTCTTCCTTGCTAAAATTCTTCTTCATAGACGAAATTAATTTTTCACCTTCTCAACTTCAATTGTATCCGACAAAACACCGATTTTTATACCAAAGTGGACAACAAGAGAACCATTATTGCTTATACCTGTGCTGCATATACCTGTACTGCTATTTTTGTGAGAATTATTGTGTTCTTCTAAATAATCTCAAATAGTCTTGGGCTTCTTGACGAAACTTGAAAGCATTTTCGTGAATTTTAGTTTAGAACAAGCTATAAGATTGATTTTTGGTTCGGAATTTGTTCACCGGCATAATCTGTCATTCTTTTTGTAAGGATGTATTATGCAATAATTAAAGTCAAAGTTTTCTTACAAATTCTGGGTTATTTTGAATCATATCCATATAGTACTAAGAAAAATGAAAAATATTACTATTGCGATTTTGACAAATAAGCACAATTTTTGTACTGGGGAGAGTGGAGGGGACTGTACGTGGTGACTGGCATTTTAACACCCACCTTTTCTTTACGTTAATAACGATAGTAACGTTTCCACAGTTTGACGAGGGTGACCAAGTACCGTATATTATTTTGAGAGCGACAAGCTCCACAAAGCATTGCCGGTGCCCCACTCTTTGTTTCTCATTACTTAGCAAAGGCAGTAAAATGGACATGGTCAAAATACCAAAAAATAGCAAATGAGTTGGCCGTGAAAAATATTTTGCCATGAGCATCTTTATCTGTATAAGAATTGTTTATAAATAAACAATTACAAACTCCAAAATTAGAGAAAGTCGTTTATCCATCTCTAATTAATTTATGTGTTCACGATTGATGTTAAAATAATATTCTTATTCATAAATATATTTAAAAAAAAATAAAAGAACATAAAAGTATGAACTAATTTGCCAACTCAGTGGGATCAGAGGCCTACAAGCATTAACCACAAGACAAGCCTAGGTTGTTCTGAAACATTCCAGTACCCATTATCTAGGTTTTAAATCTAATTATCTCAGAGCATGATATTTACCTATGTGGACAGCACAACTCACCTGTCAAATCTAGACATGGTACAGTGCTCTTAATCCAAGACAAGCAAAGCAAGTGCAAGTGGGTCCTTCATGCTTGCAAGTTTGTGCTACACAACACAATAGATCTAGCATGCAAGGTTGGTGTGAAATTAATTGCAACCAAATTCCTGAACGTGAGATAAGCTATGATGTTGGATGTGGACACAACAGGTGAATCAGATAGATAGACCAGCAAAGAGCCCAAGGGTCTGGCCCAATAATTAAGGACACTGGTAGAATTACTTTTTCTTAAAAAAAAAATTACTTTTTTGCAACAGTTTTTTTAACAGAATTTTAAGCAACATTTTGTTCCATAGAAGGGGCAAAAGGTCTGATCCCTGGCAAATTCTTGACTTTGAATCCTTGAATTACCACTTTGGACAAGGCTTTAGTTACTAACTCAGGATTTGGTCTTACAGCTATGCAGAAGAAAACATGGCTAAAGACAAATAAAAAGGAACTTTTAAATACATACATAAGATTGTTTCCTATAATTTAAGGGAAACAAAAGACATATTTAATCCCAAATGTCACAAAGTCTTATCCGAGAGTGTCCTTATTGTACAAAACGAAAATGTCATTTAAGTGATAAATCCTCTTAGATAGCTTGATTGAAGGCCAACTATAAATAATGTTATTTTTTCCTTTTCTTAAACTCGTTTTCGGATACTCATCTAACGAAAATTCAAACCTGAACTTATTACGTCACCATATACTACCCTGTTACCACTGCTAATGTTATTCTTGAGTAATGCTTTCACAATTAGTTTTACATTAATATTTGACCTTAAAACACAATTTTATCTTATAGTCGTGGTTTTTAAGCAGTTTATAAAGGTTTTGTTGTTGAAATGTCACATTTTCTCTCTGGTATAGAAATTGTTGTGAGAAAGTGAGATAAGATAAGAGATAGGAGTTTACTTGTTCAAGTTTAGCGTCACAGTACTTCAGAGACCTTGGTTGTCTATGCCAAAGCCACTATGACCGGGGTCCGCGGAAACTATTCATTATCTATCATTTGTTTGGTTTAAGCTGAGAGTGTGGTGTATAATAGCACTGTGAAATCTTATCAGTATTATTTGTCTGGTTTGGATATATATGATTGATATGGTACATGGGCTAATTATTGCCACAGGTAACAAATGTACATCTTTGCTTTGTTTTTACTGTCTATTTTGTGTGGACAACATATCTCTAATTCAAACGGACAAGTTTTGCTTGCTGGTTATTCTCCAAGGCCAATGCAGGAGTTTTCCTTTTTTTGTAGTTTTGTTATTCCAAGCATGAACCTTTTTCACAGAATTAAAGTCTAATGTTTTAGTAGAGATGGAGTTGGTTTACATACTTCACTGTGGGATCCACATGTCCATTGTGTAAATTAATCTGTCATGTGAGTAAGTAAGGTGACACCCATGCATTGTGTAATTATATTTGTCACCCTTTGATGTTTCTGACACTAATGCACGTGAAAAGTGAATTATAATAGGAATTTCATAATCTAACTAATAACTTATCTTTTATCAAACAACACGACTTTTACAAAATCCTCCTCTATATTTATGACCTTTTTTTCAACGTATTTATTTTCTTTATCCATTTCTTCTATTTCCCTTCCTCAAACCAAACATAGTGTGATAGAGACTATGGACATCTCTCAGTAGAGATTTGAATCTTAGTTCGTCAGGTTGTGAAAAATTGACGCAGTATCAGTTTCATTGGTGGTAGTTCTGTACCTTTTTTATAACATTCTCATGTTTGATTTGTATTGAAAATATTGAATGCTTTGTATGTTTTCAAGATACTAAATTCATAAAATTTTATTTGAAACAATGTACGCAAAAATTCATAATCAAGTAATAAGAAGTAACTATTTGTATGACCCTTTAAGATAATTATTGTAAAAAGGTGGTTCATGATTATTTAGATAGTAACAGTTTTGCACTTTCATTGGGTAACTTATTATCTTTTTTTATTTGTAAGTCATTAGAAAAGAAAAATTAAAAAATATACAACAATATTACTCATGTTAGTAACATCAACCTCTTAATTCTCGTTCTTCCTTGGCTCTTTTATATGGTTAAGTATTAATCCTCGTACTCTCATAGTTCTTTATATGATTTTGTAGGATATCAGCAGTCCAATCAAATCAACTGCATTCTAGTACCAATAAGCTCCTTGAATTTAATTAAAATACAAAACCGAGAAAGAGTGTTTTTGTACCTAAGTACGAATTATTATACATTATTAACTTTTGTAAAAATACTGTGTGGAGCAATTTGTAATTTATCAAATGACCAATTAAATCTTCAGCATTTGTCAGAGTGTTGTATTGGTATTATCCAAAAAGCCATATCTGGGGGTGACCCTTCTCTTCAGTGTTTGTTACAATTAAATCTCAGTGACTGGTTTGATTATTCAACATTGATTTAGTTAAAGGTGTATTTAACTAGAATAGACAATACACTGGGTTAGATCCACTTGTAAGGAAAAAGGGCTATACTTTTAAAATGATGGGACAACATATATATATTATACAACCAAAGACGATAAAAACATGTTTCTCTGCGGTAGTTATCACCCTATCACCTGGAAGGAGACAAATCATAGGGTCTTCCAATATAACAAACATACCATTGTTCACATAGGTGGCTAAACTTTCTCCATATTTATGAAAGAATCAGTGCTAATGCATGTTACTAGCAGAATGTTAATATAACTTGTTTTCCATCAGAATTCAAAGAGAATTTCGTCAGTGTTAAAACTAGTGATGAAGTGCAAATTAGGCCACAAGCACTTGGCCCTACCAATTTGACCTTTTGCATATTCCATTAGCCTACTTATAGAGCTGCTCTTAAATGTGCCAGGCAGTTATTCAGCGATTCATTTAAATTCTCTCCTGCATCATTTCCTTACCTCAGTTTTAGCCTTCCCTTCACATAACTAAGTTTTCTTTTCAACCTTGCTACCTTTCATTATTCTTATGGCCTTTTAGCACTCAAAAGTTGACATAATATTAGTCCTTTTACTTCAAAGTGTTTTAGTATCCTTGTCTATACCACTGTTTTTTTTTTCAATCTCATTTGTTCTTTTTGTGTCTTTTCTTCCATCAGCCTCTGTGCAAACAAGTTCTGTTGGGCCATTTTCTGAGTACTTTGATACTTTTCACTATGGTTATCTTAACAGCCACTTCCAATAACAATATCCATCAGTTGCAAACTTTCAACTCTCAGAAAAATAACTACCACATGCGTGATGCGTCCTTCTCTTCATACTTGAACAACAAAGAAGAGATCCTGGCTGAATCAGGCCATGGCTTTGCTAGCAACAGAAAAGAGACTCTTCACCATGGAGTCAAGAAAGAAGATGATGGAGAAATTGGAGTGTTTGGAGCTGAAAAGTACTTCAATGGAGAAGATATGGAAAGCCCCCCAACAGTTGCTAACAATGATGCACACAAGCAGCCACGGAAAGATGAACAAACAGCTCTAGTAACTAGAAAGTACAAAGTTCAGTATGGAACTCCAAGTGTTCGGTCTGAATCAAGTTTGAACAGCCAAAGTGCACTGTTACAAAATGCTGTGAGGAATTCCTCAAAGAACATGAAAAACAAATTGCAGAGGAAGAGTTTTCTAGCTGCTCTTGGTTGCAAATGCTATTGTTCTGACAAGAATTCTGTTGATATTAATGACCATTCAGGTGAAATCGGTTTCAACAAAAATGCTAGTCATGGAAAAACAACTCCAAGAAATATATTCAATGCTGATCCAGAGGCTAATCATTTAGTTAAAATGACTAAGCCTCATGCAACAGATATCTTGATCAACAAGGATGTCTACTTCCAAAGGGCAGAGAAGTTAGGGGTGGGATTGGGCAGAGAGAACAGTTTAGCACTCCCAGCTTTGACTTCTAGCCCAGGAAATCAACTGCCCAAAATGCAACTTCAAGTAGAGAGACCTAGGAATTCATTGGAAGTGTTTGGCTCTCCAATATTGGATAGCAGGAGCAAGTCCTTGAGCTTTGATAGAAGGTTGGTAAGGACATCTTGGGAAGCTGCTCCAAAAATGGAAGTAACTGACTTCTCAGCAAATTCTGGTGGAAACTACAATGATGCTGAGAGTGATGCAAGTTCAGACTTGTTTGAGATTGAAAGCCTCACGGGCAAATCCAACTCCCTCCTTGCTAGATCAACATCCAATATTGTTTCTAGCTGTGCCAGCCCCACCAATTGTTATGCACCAAGTGAGGCAAGCATAGAGTGGAGTGTCGCCACTGCCAGTGCCTTCGAGTACTCAGCCATGTCAGATTATGATGATCAAAGGTCAATAGCAACCACAAGGAGTCCAATTAGGACATCCTTAGTTTCATCAAATGCTAAACCAAAAGTCATCAAAGAGATGCAGAGGCGTCGTCCTAGCATACTGTTGGGTTGCAAGAGCCAGAAAGCTGTAGGTGTTGCTGGGGATGCCTTCACAGCATATGAGAAACCTATTTCCAACACACAAATCCGTCGCAAGTCGGACACCTTCCCTCAGGTGACAGAGGCAAAGGAGGGAAGTTTGGGTCCAAGACATAAGCAACATGCTTATGCCACACCCCCACTTCAGCGCTCACTCTCACCACACCCTTCGCAGCTCTTGTACATTTAGTTGCTGCTTGACTACATGTGTGTGTGTATTTGGAGTTTCATCAATGAGTAAATCCTAACTTATTTTGTATGCATCAATCATTTTAGTCTCTCAAAGTCGTTGACTTTGAGAATGTTGTTCACTTTAGTCCTCAAATTCAGTAAAAATAAATGAAGGATGTGAATGACATTTTCTAAAGTTGGGGACTAAGTAAATGAAGGTGAAGACTGAATGACTGACATATACAACACAGGAGACTAAAGTGAGGGTTTACTCTTTGTTCAACTATGTATCTTGAGTCTTGAATTTGTGTGATAGATGTGTTGTCCAACAATAATGGTAGTAGAAGTAGATAAGTTTTTAGTCCAAAGTCCCCATATCAAATGGGAAGTGTGTTGAGTCTCCGTCTTGCTAATCTTGGTGTATTCTTCCATTTGCTTTGTTATGTACACTTTCATAAGTTTTTGCTGTTTCTGGTGAAAAAATCTTGATGAAACTGGATGTCTTGTATTCATGCATTTGGTCTCATATAAAGAAAGATGGAATGTGAAAGGCGACCTCGTATTGTCAAAGCAATGGAAACCGCCTCTTTAATGCTCTCTTCCTATCAAAGAGATTGCTTGTTCCATAGCCTTTTGTTTTTAGGCATTGTTGCATCTGATACCAAGGACCATAGTTTTTTGGAAGGAGGACTTAGCAGAGATTTCCCAAAAATGTCCCTTTTCACTTTACATGATATTTCCTTATAGGACCACAAAATGAAAGAATAGGAAAAAAGAAAAGTGAGATGTATCTTCTATAACTGCACCCAACCAACAAAAAGGAAGAAAAAATGACGGTAAAGCTAAATCATCCTTAAATGCAAGGAGGGGGGTTATCATAGGCAATTGTGTTCTTATCATTTCAACTTTTTGTTATGAAATGGATGACAAGTTCATGCCAACAGCACTTTTTAATCATGTGATAACAAGAACTTACACCCATAATACAGACAAAAGGTGATACAAATCAGGAGCTTCTGATCAGACAAAGTTTCAGTGTCCAACAGATAATTTTGCAACCTAAATTTGAGAGAATGTCCTTACAGCAATGTTCAACTGGCAAAAGCGACACCGTAACAAGACCACCAAGGCATGGACTAGCTGCTTTTAATTCTAAAACTACCTCATAAATAAAGTGGTCCATCTTGTTATTTCTTTTGCCATGCCAATTTTCCAGAAATCCATGAGATATAATGCACAGAGATTAGAAATAGTTTAACTTGCTAGAAGCCCCCTGGAATTCAATATTTACATTCTACTGAAATCAATGCTTGATTCAATCAAATGAAATCTTATTCATGTCTCAAATGCAAGTAATATTGTATATTACTAAGGCCTGCTCCTAGAAGGAAGCTCCATTCCCTCTAAAATGCAACCGATGTGAAGCTTTTTCAATAAGCCATGTGATACTGTGGTCAATAAGCCATTTATTACTGAAAAAGAAAAAACAGATAAGATATTAATGCCTCAAAAAGAGAAGATATATACGTATATATGCAAAATATGGCATCCTGCGAACTTTATTGGTAGAGCAACCTTGTTTGTGGTGCAAACTAACTCATCAATGGTTCACTCCAATCAATAAACCAGAATATTTAGCAAGCAGATGTCATTTTTAATGTCTATGCATTATTTTTTTCACACATCACTGACTAGAGATGATCATTGTGACCATATGTAATTGTCATGGGCCACGAATGAGATGATGGCATTTAAGCTCTCAGATTGGGCCCCTGTATCCTTCACGTGGAGCAAAAAAGAGCCTCTAAAGTTGAAAAATGTCACTAAAGCATGTGTCTAGATGTCATATTCCAGTCCTCTATTGTCTAATATCTTTATCATGAGCCAAGAGTGCAAGTAAAGTATACATATGAGTATATCTGTTCGTAGTTGGATGATGAATAGGACCTAACATGGATGATTTATGATTCTAACCACACATTCTCTATGCATTTAAGGATTTTAGTTTGTTGATTTAGATGGGGATGGCAAAACATATCTGATTCTTATATCAATAATGACAAAGATAGGATAAAAACAGCACTCCTGTCCTGTCCAAACAAATCTCAATTCACAAGAGGATATGAGAGGCTCAACAAATTCATGGTTCTGCTTTGTGTCCAGTTTCATTTAAATGAAACGTCCAGTTCCAGCTTATAACTTACTTTGACTCCTTTATCAACTAGTTTGACCAAGCTTGTTTGGGACGTGGATTTCTTTTGCTAACTTTCTCTACATAGGAACTTATATGTAGGAATAGCTTACAGGAGATGAAAATAAAAGGAAAAGAATAAAATGACAAGTTTTTTCACAAGTTATTTTATTCATAAATAAAAAATGTGATCTTGAACAAGTTAACATGATTAATTTTATTAAAAAATATATATTTTTCTTATATTCTTCTTCTAGAAAAGATTATGGAGATAGTTGTTAAAATATGATGTTATGTAGCTTCTACCTTATATTCATGAGTTATACTTGAAGAAGCTTATAAAATAAGTTATTACTAACTTTTCGTTTTTTTTTTTTCATTTTTACTCTCATTAATTTATTTAAAAATCTCATTTTACCTCCAATAATTAAATATGTTATTTTATATTTTTTAATTTGTTTATTAACCAAATTCCCCAAACACATTTAGTTCAATTAGCTATTTTATAAGCTTTTGGCTTTTAGTTCTTAGCTTATAAGTTATTTTCAATTTGTTTTATCATTGTACTTTTTTGAGTAAATCCTCGTAATATCCTCCAAATAGAAATTAAAGAATTAGGACTTTATTCTTAATTTTAGAAGTATATGTAATAAAATAGTAATACTGTTCGTCCATATTTATTAAAATTATTATATTTATTTGATTATCATATTAAATATTATTTTATTAATTATCTTTATTTGTTATTATTTTATATAATATTTTATATCATATATTATTTTTTAAATTATTATTATTTTTTATAATATACAATGAGACTCAGCGATAAACTTTCCTTTATCACTTATTTATTATTTTCTTTTTAAAAATTGACTTTAACATCAAATTATTTTATTTTTCTGATCTTTGTTTTTAAAAAATATTTACTTCAATTATTTTAAAATCCTAGCTTAATATCTTATTCAACTATTTTCTCAATATAATATTATATATTCTTGTCAACACTAACAAATTTTCATGATAAAAAAGTCAAACTAATAAATATGACACAAGAGAGTCTTTAATTCTTCATCTTACTTTTTTATTTTTCACTTTGCCAACCTTTTAATAGAAGTATTATAAGAAATTTTGATGAGACAGCCTGTTATTATTATTATTTTTTATTAGTGTTCTTAGTTCAAAACTATTAAGATTGCTTTGTTTGCTTTTGTTATTTTAATTATACCGAATGCTTTGATAAGAAAATGGATTATAACAACTAGTGATAATTCAAACCCTTATTTATTTTGTATTTTGGCTTTGTGGAGAATGGGTGATAAAATTTATAGTATCCTTTTAAATTCTGGTGACAGGATCATGATTTCTATTATATTTAGATTTTCAAAAGTTTTTCTTTTCACTTTTTTCATGATGTTTTTCATATAGGATCACAAGTAAAGAAAAAGGAAAAGCATCTAACCAACAGATACAGGTGGAAAAAAAGAAGTATCATAAAGTTGATCATCTTTTAAATTGATGTTGTAATCATTTCTTCTTTTCTTGTACAATGGATAAAAGGTTAATGCCAGGACCACTCTTTAACATGTGATAGACAGAAAGAGCTTATATCCAATAAAAAACAAAAATGTAAAGAATGAGGAGCTTCTGATCAGAGAAAGTTTCAGTGTCCAACAGATAACTCCGAAACCTCAATTGGAGTTGGAGAGAATGTCCTTACAACATCCAACTGGAAAAAGCGACACCTTAAGATGAGCACCAAGGAATGAAGCTAGCTGCTTTTAATCCTAAAAACACCTCATAAATAAAGTGGACCATCGTATTAATCATATTTCTTTTGTCATGCCAATTTTTCAGAAATTCATACACTACTCAGAAAGAGATAGGAGTCACTTTAACATTCTGGAGGCCCCTTGCAATTAGATTCTGATATTTGGTATCTGGTTAAATGTGGGTTAGCTAGAAGGAGGCTCCATTCCCTCTAAATGACACCATTTGAAACTTTTTCATTCAGCAATTAATGAAGCTTTTCTACATAAGCCACCAATATTCAATGCGCAAGTATGCAGCCATGTGATAATGTTGTCAGTATTATAACTGAAAAAGCAAAAACAGATAATGCAGCAATAACAGAAGATCTGCATATGTAGTTAAGTTAAAATTGGATTCGAATATCTTGAATAAGATTCATATTTGAATTTTGTAGATAATTATGATCTTATAAAAAAAAAGCGAACAAGAGACTATAAAAATAGAAAATAAGTATAAAACAGTGATTGAAGTGAAGCGATTTTTTTATTGTGATTATGTAACTGATTAATCAATAATTGATTAATATTATATCTAAGCACTAGGATTGTAGGAGAGATACAGATGCATTGTAAGAATTTAATTACTTGAGAAACCTTGAAGATATCGATGTTCCACTCCAATCAAGAAACCAGAATATTAAGCAGCTGTCACTTTTACTGTGTATGCATTATTTTTCTGATCTGTCACTGACTAAAGATGATCTTTGTGACCATACGTTGTGAAGGGCCACGAAAGATATGCTTGCATTACGAATCTGTGATTGATTGGGCTCTACAAGCCTTCATGTTATAAGATAATACACCAAAGGGTTAATAAGTATAACATCTGGTAATATGTTATGTCAGTTTTTCAGTTAGGATATAATCTAAACAATGTATAAGAGTCACATGTCTGAACCCTCGTTGATGTGATACAGTTTATCTTCAATTTTTATAATAAAAGAGCTTCCTCAACTTGAAAAAATGCCACGTAAAAGTATGTCTGTTGATCATATATATTGTAGACATCATGGGTCTTTA